GCGTCCTCAGCTGACCTGACGCTGCATACGGAACTACTGCGAGGTACCTGACCCTGGTGACCAGCGTGCTGACAGCTTTTCACCTGCGGTTCCCTTCCCTGCCTGCTCTGGGCCATCTGGTTACACTGCAGGTGCCAGTCTCTCATCTGCTCCTTCCGTCCCAGCTGGGATGGTGCTGGGAGGGGGACTCCGGAGTCAGACCCCCTGCTTCCAATCCCAGCCCCATGTCCTACTAGCTTGGGACCTTGGCTGAAAAAGCTGCTTCTCTCTTGTCCACATGTAAGACGGGTGATGGTGGGGGAGATGAAGTGAGGTGACATGGGTGACGCGACAGCCCCGGGAACTGCTCATAAGTGCTGGGCAGCATCGCCTGCGCTGTTGTTCTCACTGGTGCGGGATCGGGTGTCACTATTTGGTGGGTCACATTCATGAAACTTTTAGAAACCAAAGTGGCAGGTCTAAGTCTGTAGAATGCTAGAAATTCCTACCTCTGTCCTTCAGCAGAAGAGAGACAAAAGTAGTAAAATCAGAAAGAAAAGTTATGTGTATTTTCCCCACTCTGTCCTCTAGGTTTGTTTTTCAGTTTACCATTGTTCATCAGTCCAGTATGGTAACACAGGGAGAAAGCACTTGAGTTTTGCAAATGATGTTATACAGTATGCCTACTCAAGAAAAAGGGGAAGAAAGACGAAACGCTCACAAGCCTGGCCTCTCGATCCATCTGAGTCTCTCCCGTGGCTTGCAGGACCCTTCATCCCAGCCCCAGGCTGACAGCTTTGGGAGCGAAGGGAGTCGCTTCACCTTTTAGTTTAATGTGGACAGAACGCCAGATCTTAGTCTGACACGGCTGTCATGAGTACTTTCTAAAGCAGTTTTAACCAGGCTCATTATATTTAGAGTTTTATATCCATTTATGTTGTTAGCACCTTCAGTCTGGCTCTTCCCACATGAGCTAACATAACTTTCTAAAATAAACCAAAAAGTAGCTAGCCAGGGTGAGAAAGTCGACCTTGTGTGGGTCAGAGCCCCACACAGGGAAGCGGTTGCCTGTGACCTTGTGTGGTCCCACATCTCTGGGCACAGCCAGTGACAGAGCCGGTGCAGACACATTCAGGAGCCACGGCCTGTGGCTTTTGCCTCGATGCTGATGTGAAAAAGGCTTTAGGATGGTTGAGTATCCAATGCCAGCTTGTCATGCCTCAAATACAGGAAAAAAAAAAAGATGGCACTAAAAGAGAGCTGAGAAACAAGACAGACAGAGAGCAATGAAGTGAAGTGGTTTCCTAACGTGATGAAGGAGAGAAGAGTCACATACAAAACGTGAGCTGGGAATCTCAAACTGGAAGGGGCCTTCATGATCACCCCCTACTCCAACCTTCAGTGTCGTGTCTGAGGACCAGCTACAAACAGAGTTTACAGATCATTAGGAAATGCAAATCGTAAGGTCAGAGGTAACACTTAGTAGCCCACTGACCCCGGTATCAATGGCGAATTGAGATGTCCTAGAAAGTGAAACTTGCAGAGATAGAAGCTGATCCATTTTAAGTACCAAAACTTTAAAATGTTAACCATTTTAATGAAAATGTCTATAAAACATCTTATAAGCTTTTTCTTGATGGCTCAGGGTTTTGTTTTGTTTCGTTTTGTTTAATCTTTTTTTCATTGAGAAACATCAGATATTCTGGTCTGTTTTTGATTAACTTATTATCCCCAGTGATTTGAAACTACATTGTCTTGAGTTTCCATCACGAACAAATCCCTGATATATTAACTTGAGTGCTACATATATTCTTTTTCATGAAGGGAGAGTGAGTAGTAATAATATAGTTCCACAATCCCTTGTTTAAAGCCCTTGGATCCAGATAAGTTTCTAAATTTAGATATTTCCACAGTTTAGGAAGGTCCTACAGCACAGACGGCGTGCACGACAGATACCCCCAGTGGTACCTGTTCAACACACTGTCGTTTCCTCAGCAAAGTGTATGAATGCTCACCCCAGGTGGGACACAGAAGTGCCCACTGTCAGGTCAGGTCAGGTCAGGTTTGGCTGCCAAGTGAGTTGTGACATCAGAAAAAGAACTTGGTTTTCAGAGGCTTTTAAATTTTGTAATTGTGCTTAAGAAATCAGACCCACGGGTAACACTTGCTGAAGATTTCCTCTATTCCAGGCACTGTGCTACGTGCTTTATGCATCTCATTAAGTCCTCGCGGCAGGCACATACTTCTGTTACTCCCATTTACAAGTAGAAAACTGACACACAGAGGCACTCAGTAACTCTCCCATCATCACAAAGCTAATTAAGTTGCAGGGCGACGATGTGTACCAAAGCTGACCTTTACTAAGGGCTTGTTGTGTATCAGGCATTGTCTGGGCACTTTACACATTCTCCCTCCTTTGATCTGCATCCAACCCTGTGAAATAATCAGTATCATTATCCCCATTTAATAGATGAGAGGCAACAGGGAGATTATTTAACATGCCCAAGGTTCAGTCTGGTAGACAATATGATTCCAGAGCACGTGTGTATACCACGTCGTATGAGCTTGTAGCAATAAAACAACTGGTGATGAGATTCAGCAAAATTAATTACTGCATTAGAGGCCACATGCCTCTCTGCTTGTGATGTCTTCAAACATCAGCACTGATGCTACGCTCCTTATACTTCCAACCACTCAGTGTAGGTTTTATAATTTCTTCATATGGGATCATTTACTACATGTCCCCTGACATTTGCCCGCACCCCCCCCCACTATCTCACTGTCCTGCCTTATTTATTAGTGGAGTATGGGTGAGCACCTGTCAGCATTTCCAAAACGTGTCCTGGCACATCTGGGAGGAGATACTTTCACAGCCCCCTTCTCCCTCCCCTCAAGGAACCCGAGGTGTCTCCAAGCCGTCCTTCACTTTTCACCTTGAATAGAATCCTAGCCACAACCAACATTAAAAATCACCTCTTTGATGTGAAAAAGAGATGGAAAGGCCAGTTTTCTTGTGGACTTTGTTGTAGAAAACCATCTAATTCTAGAATAGCTCTCTTGCTCCTGTGCTGAGTCAGTGGGTTCCACTAGCAGCAGGAAGCTAGGAACGCCTCCTCAGACACACCCCTCACTCTGTGTGAACCCCGCAGCTCTCCAGCCTATGGAGAACTTTGTCCATCTCGGAAAACCACCTGGTGTTACAGATGATCTCACATGGAAGATGACAAAATACAGTCGAATTTGCCAGGGGGTTCCAAAAGTTTTAGGATCCTGGGTCACTGTCCCAGCTGGCAATAATCACCTTCCTTACTCATTCAGTCCAGAGAAGAACTGATTGGTTTGAGCAGCACTGAGATGACCCACTGCACTGGAAATGCCCCAGAATCCTTCCAAAGCTGGCTGTGTTTCACTGGCTGTTTCTGGCCTGCCACAGCCAAGAGAGGCAGGTGGTCCATGGCTTATGACCATGATTTGCTCCTGCAGTAAGCCCTGCGCCACGGCTGGCAAAGAGGGGCAATCTCCGCTTCTTCTGTTCTGCGTTGAGGAGGAGTCTCTTCCCGCAGCCTAGCGGTGTCGTGCTGTTTTGTAACACGCTATGTGTCCTGCTCTTCTGGTTCTTTGCTAAGTTTGCCACTGCAGTGGTTCCAGTGCTGTCACTCAGTCAGTTCTGGAATTCAGTGATATCCTACAGAATCACTGAGGGAAGAGCCCGGACCTCCCTCCTAACTGCACAGAGGGTCCTTGCGCTGTACCTCCAGGAGCTATACGTGGCTAACGGCCCCACCACACCTGCTGCTCTTGTCCCCTTGTCCCTCTGTTGTCCTGAGCATTGAGCACGCGGGCGCACACTACCCCTGAGTCTCATCAGACACTTCCTCTGTCCGTGCTGGCTCAAGAGCTGCTTCTCTGCAGCAGGAGCCACTTTTTTTTCCCCCCCTCTCCTTTTATTTCCAGATTCAGTGCCATTCTGGTTGCCTGAGATGGCCTGACCGCCATACAAGGACACTAGGCTGGTGACCACTGACACTTCTCTTCCACGGGGCTAGACTGGAAAAATTACTGCAGTGGGGTGCTGGTGGGCTGGTTTTGAGGCATCGCATGGGATTCTCCTCGAATCACAGTTTGATTTAAAGATGGATATTGTGGAATCCTACATTCATTTTTGCTAATACCAGCCACCCTGAGTAACATGACTTGGGGGATCAGTAACCTCCTAAAACAGCCCATCATGTGGCAGACGGCTCAAGGCCAAGAGAAATACTCAGCTTTTCATTTGTGTGGGGTTTTCTTTTCTAAAATGAAAGAGTTACTAGACTGGAAAAAAAAGATGAACACTGAGTATGTAAGTAGATCTAAGCATGTAAATCAATGATTTAATTAGTGACATGCTTCCTCTTGGGTGAACCTGATTCATGAAGCCTCCGTCCAGAAACTCACCCAGAGGGTGGACGTATGACTCATGCTCCCTGACAGAGCCGACTCAGAAGTAGAAAGTGCGAGCTTTTTAGAAGGGGAAAGGCAGTGACTGTTCTTCAGGCATTCTGGATTGCTAGGGCAGCTCACTTACACGCGGGGTTCAAGACACAGGGGGTATCCTTTTTTGTTCCTCCTGGAGGGAGTTGTTTTTACTCTTTGATATTTAAAAACAAGCCACCAAAACCTGAACTCGAAACCCAGATTACAGTCAGATCAGGCATTTGTGGTTTAGAGACGGTATCACATGACTCAGCTCATTCGTACTGCGCTTCATACCTGAACATATGTTACAGCAGGAAAGTTAGTCCCGACAAGGAGGAAAGGTTGGTCTTCAGAGAAGGTCCCGCCAGTCTGTGTCCGGAGTCCTGAGGGTGCCGGGCGCGCCCCCTTGTGCGCGGAGTTTACACTAGGTGGCGTGCCAGGAAAGCCAAACAAACTCAAACTTGGTCCTGTGCAAGCAGGGTTCTCTGGCGCTCACTTCGGCCGGTGGGTGCAGCTTTGGGGTCAGTATGTGGTTTGTGAGTGCTTTCTTTTCTCCCCTCCAGGATGAAGTGTCCTCTTGCTGGTACAAATAAAAGATTTCTAATTAACACAATTAAGAACACACTGCCCTCTCATAAGGAGCAAGACCACGAACAAAAAGAGGGCAGTAAGGAGCCCGCGAGAAGCCAGAACCAGAAGGAGGCGAGCCGGCAGAAGCACAGGACGCACCCCCTAACGACGCGAGGGCGCGCAGACCGGGGCGCGCCCGCCGCTCCGCGCCGACGGACGACGGGCGAGCCGG